GGGGAAAAAAGTCTGGTAGAAACACTGCTAACAGGCGCCATCGTGCCAAATAGCATCCTGTTAATAATGATGCAGATTTCGTCGTTCGCTAAAGTGACACAAATGAACAGGATTTTTTTCTTTAACACGTAAAAAAAGTATTTGACGTTTTTAGACATCACTGTGACTGATGCAATATGCTAGCGTTACTAATGGTCTATTATTAGATGCTCGATCTCAATTTCTGACTGGATTGTTTAATAATAGATGCTTATTGCATCATTCGCAAAGTGACGAAACTTTACAGTAGGCTCCTCATATTCAAAAAGTTATTTTTTCATCTTTCGCAAAGTTACGAAACTGTACAGAAGGATTTCCTCCCGTTACTAAGTTATTTTTGGAAGCCTGCTGTAGTTTTACCGCTGAATATAGTAGTACCGCTTACTCGCTATCCAGGACGCTCGATTAACGGACGCCAAGTGCCAACATAGTCGCTCTAAAACTCTGGACGCCCAACCGTGTATTCACGAAAGTTGTAGGCCCCTACCCTATATGGCGCCGCCCATAAGAAACTTTAGTTTTCTTTTTCGCAGAAATATTCTCGGGAGTATTCTCATCTACTCTCTAAAGTTTCATGGCACTCGGATGAACCGCATCCGATTTTTATTTTTTATATACCGTGTATAGAGAAAAAAAAATCGCTCCCCCCCCCCCGGAGGGCGCCGTCGTTGCAATATTAAACGATATTTTTTTTGCAGAACCCTACTATTGAGTGATCTAATCGTCTCCCCAAAGTTTCATGGTACACGGATGAACGGTGTGAAACCGAAATAGACTTTTATTTTTATAAACCGTATATAGAAAAAAAATCGCAGCCTCCCGTGGAGCCGCCCTTGCGAAATTTAAAAAGGATTTTTTTTACAGAACCCTTTTCTGAATTGTTCTAATCAACTCCTTCAAAGTCTCATGGCTATCGGATAACGGTTTTACACCAAAATCGACTTTTATTTTTATATACCGTATATTGAGAAAAATCGCACCCTCCCGTGGCGCCGCCCTTGCAAAATTAAATATGATTTTTTTACAGAACCCTTCCCCAGAGTGTCCTAATCAACACCCCTAAAGTTTCATGCCTATCGGATGAACGGTGTCACTGCAATTCACTTTTATTATTTTTTTATACCGTATATAGAGAAAAATCGCACCTCCCGTGGCGCCGCCCTTGCGAAATTAAAAATTATTTTTTACAGAACCCTTTCCTAGAGGGTTATAACGAACTCCCCAAAGTTTCATGCCTATCGGATGAACAGTGTGAAATCAAATTAGACTTTTATTTTTATATACCGTATATAGAGAAAAAACAAATCGCGCCCTGCCGGGGCGCCACCCCTGCGAATTTGAAACTTTTTTCCGCAGAAACCTCCCCAGGAATATTCTCAACAACTCCCCGAAGTTTCACGGAGATGTGATAAGAGGTGTGGTAATGCATAAAAGACACACATACAGACACACTCACATTGCTTTATATATATATAGATAGAAGATATATATATATATATATATATATATATATATATATATATATATATATATATATATATATATATATATATATATAAGTGTTGGAACGTAATAAATACAGCAAACGGACGTATTGTTAAAGTTATAGTCTAGTTGCTATTATTAAAGAGTAACGATAACGTCATTTCTTTTGAGGGGGGGGGGGGCGGCTTAGACGCTCTTCCGGCGGGTGTGGGGCTTAGAGGTTCTTCCGAGGGTGGGGGAGGGGCTTTGCCCATACCCAAAGAGATTCATGAAAGAAACTCTGCACTCAAAACACTTAAAATTAGACACATGAATTCGATGGTAATGCCTGTGTTTTTTTACGGATTATGGATGACGTCGTTGTTAAAAGTATATATTTTCTATATAAATTATATTTCGTTTTTTTTAGGGTGGGGGAAGGAGCTTCACCCCTACCCAAAGAGATACATGAAAAAAATTCGTCACACAAACCGCTTTTAAGTTTAGACAAATGAGTTAGGCGGTAATGCGAGTTTTTATTATAGAGTATCGATGAAGTCATTACTATTGTTTTATTTTTTGGCATCTATATACTACTTAAACTCAAGTTTGTTTACATGTTTGAATATTTATTTGTTTTTTTTGTTTGTTTGTTTTTTTTTTTTTTTTTTGTCTGATCGATTATTGTTAATAGTTCTACTCTATCTGGAGAGCTGTAAAATAGTATGTAGGTAGAGAATAATTTTTATTGCAGACAGACTGTTAATCACAAATTTATTTAAAGACGTTAATTAATTTATTGATTTATTCATAGGTAGATTAACCACATTTTTTTAAAAGATTTGAAAAACCACTACACTCGACGGAAACAGTGACGTCACATAATGTGTTTATTTTATACATCAATAATGTCCCTTAGGTGCCAAAATGGGTTGGAAAAATAAATTGAAAGGTTGAGGGGGTGCAAATGTTCAAATCGAAATCTTGAGCGGGGGGTGGTGCACATCAAAAGTTTGGGGGGGGGGGGGGGGTTGAAAAAAAATCTTGCGGGGGGGGGGGGGGGGTTCGAATTGAAAAGTTTGTCCCCGGGCGCCGGGAAGGGTCGCTATGCCTCTGAGTGACGTGATGTTTTTTGATGGATGACCCCCGAAACCCACAGTTATCCAACGGATGACGGGTAGTCTAGTTGGTTTTATAATTCAATGTTTACTCGAGAATCAATGACGTTATATTACTGTGTGTATTTTACCGGCTTGAGACTTTCTTACTATATGCTCCATGTGAAGTCATACATGCACAGACAGCAAAACTATTATTAGTGACGAGATAAATGACCCGTTGAGGGAGAGATACAATGGGCGCTAGGTCAATAGTGTTGTCTTTTTCCCTAAATCAAAATCAAAACCAAAATCAACACCTCTCCTTTAGATTTAACCGGAACCAAAAAAAATGTCATTGAATAGGGGTTTTTATACAGAATTGACATTTCAATTGGTTTTAAGCTTGATCTACACGTAGTTACTGCACATTAATACTGTAGTCATAGCTATACCCGTAAAGTTCCCTTTTTAAACCTGACGGTCTATAGCGCAAGTGAAGTAGAGTTCACTTATTTCTGTGACCTCGGAATATGAAGATATAGTGTGGTCAGCACTATGCCCAGCCGCCTTTACTTTCCCTAACGTGATTTAGGTACCCATCAGAGTTTGGTGTACTCAGGGACGGTCTACTGACTTGAACCCGGATTCGAACTCGAGACGTACGGGTTAGCAGTACCGCTAGACCACTCCGTCCTATCATACCCGTAAACCTTGCATCAAATTTCAATCATAATAAAAGTCGCATTTAGAGTTTTTTAAGGCGACTCTACTTGGGGGGGGGGGGGGGGCTCTGCCCCACCGACAGACAGCCTGAGACAGCCAACCCTTCCCCCACAACCCACCCACCCTGGAGCACGTCTAACTTCCCCTTCAACGAAACACAATTTGTTTAGAAAATAAACTTTTACCAGTTGTTATGACTGAGATTAGCATAGGGTAGAGGACTGAGATAAAATATAGTTTAATTCTTAATTTTATTTATGTCAATAATATTTTAATTCGTAATTGTATTAATGCCTATACTATTATAGTGTTTAAGTGTAGGTTAGATAAATCATACTAGCTTTAATAGGAATAGTCACTAATTTGTTCGACTGTAGACTATGTCCACCCGCTAGATACAAGCCTTTAGGTCTATGATGCATTCTCTAAAAACTAGCATAGACCTAACCCATACTAACCTTGGAGATCTGGACGAAACTGAGGCAATCACACACGTTTTCATTCCCTTATATAAATTTATATACCTTTTCATAAACTATTACAAACCGGACTATTACAACTCACAGCACGAGAACTGGGACGAGAACACAAGGACGAAAGAGATAGGGTACAAACAACATTCACCCCCACTCATCCCCCTTCACACTTTCACTACATCCCCCACCGCTAACTCTAAAATTATATGAAAAGTAATTTCTAACTCCAAAAACCTCTAACTAGTATAACAGTGGTGGCTAACTTATATTGAATTGAAGTAACATGAAAGCCAATAACTAATAACCTAAGTATTACAAAATACTTTCATAATGTAAACAAAAAGTAAGGTATTAAAACTAATGCAGTAGTTGGTTGATTTTGGAGTTGTCTCTCCCCAGCTAACGAGCCTCGAGACTTTTCAGTTAACTAACCATGAGCTTTTACCGATTCTTCCACAATAATACTCTTTCAAACGGTCTATGGGGGCAAGTGCAGTAGAGTTCGTCCGTTTCTGTGATCTAGACATAAGGAGAAATAATGTGGTCAACACTATGTCCAGCCGCCTTTACTTTCCCTATAGTATAGAGATAGGTAGCCATCAGAGCTGTGTGAACTTAGGGACGTTCCAATAAACTGAATGCTGATTCGAACGCAAGACTTTAATATTAGCAGTCTAACGTTCTAACGTTGGACCACGTCATCCCCTTTACTCTTTCACTACAAGGGTAGTGTAGATTGCAGGTGTATGGACTAAACAGGCCTAGATGGAGACAGTCAACGAGGGATGAATTAGATTGTAATTACGGACGACGGCATCAATGTGTTGCAGACACGTATCTAGTTGGCCTGGGTGACCGTAATGGGGGGGGGGGGGGGGCAAACGGGGAAGTTTATTAACAGGGTCTGATATTTAATAAGGTACCCTAGAACTGTGGCGACATGTAAATTGCAGTAGGCTTGAGTGGGACGTATTGGTGCATAATAAGCCCACAACTGGACATTAGAGATGGGTTAGAGATGGGAGAGATGGGACACACACGGATAGTTGGGGTGAGGAAACTGATGGCATGTCTCTGTGAGCTAGTGGCAAGCCACGAGATGCCTGTACTGTAGTAGACCTAGGCTAGGATAGACCGTTAAGGAAAAAGTAGAGTAGTCGGGCTAAGGACTTTAGTTGTTGTAGACAGTTCGAAAGGTTTATTGAAGAGGGCCGTAACCACTTGGACAAACAAATATTGAAAGTATTGAACTAATACTCGCCATAAAGAGACCAACCTTTGAGTTAGGTGACTCCATGAGATGGCTCTGTTTCCTGTTGTCAGCGTGGATACGCTCGTGTTTTTTCCAGGTGCTGGGGTCATTAAACCTCTTACCGCACACGGAGCAGGCGAACGGTTTCTCACCTGTGTGGATACGCTCGTGGATCTGAGGATGGTCACAAGGTTACAGGTGTAAATCTTCTTACTGGGAAATCTGTTAATAAATGTTTGTGATTGCAATAATAATGTCGTAATTTCCCTTTTTAAAACTTACGGTCCATGGGGAAAGTGAAGTAGACCTCGGCATATGAAGGAAAAGTTTGGTCAGCACTATGCCCAGCAGCTTTAACTTTCCCTAACGTGAGTTAGGTACCCATCAGAGCTGAATCGACTCATGAATATTCTACTGACTTGAACCAGGATTCGCACTCGAGACTTTCCGGTTCGCAGACTAAAGCTCTACAGCTGGCCACATCGTCCCATGATTGCAATAGTAAATGTCGACTTAGTTTTGGGCTAAGTAAAGAGGGAGACTGACAGCCATCTAGCAGACATTAAGCCAGCACTTACCTTGATGTAGCCAGCTTGTGAGAACGTCCTGCCACAGAACCGGCATGCCAGTTTGTTGTTGGAACTGTTGTTTTTGTACCCGCCCGGTGACAAGGACTTCTCTTTCTTGACAGACGGATCTGACTTGTATCCGTCGGTGAGAGATTCGATTTGCTTGGAGTAGGACTCGGCCATTTTAGCGGGGTACTCGTCGCTCAACTTAGAGTTGTTTTTGTTGTTTCTGGCGTTGTGGCGAACTTGATACGGAATTTTGTTGAAAATAATATGGTAGATGTTTTAAATGTATAACCACAATTTTATTTAAAGAAGAAAAATAAAAAAATGCAGGCATATTCGAATGTAGAAAAAGTTTTAATTATGCAACAGGAAAAGCGTTTAAAGTTGTGAAAAGAACGCATAAAACAATGACGTCACAAATGTTTATACATTAACTAATGACGTCATCTGCCGTGTTTAGAATAAGATGAAATGAACTATTTCATTCAAATTTGATTTAGATCTAGATCTACGTACGCTATGAAATGTATACAATACAATTTTTCCAGCCTGAACTTATAAAATTGATTTTATCTATTTGGATTCTAGATCTAGAGATTCTAGATCTAGACTAGATCTAAATCTAAGCGAAAACTATACGTAGAAGCTAAGTCGCTAAGGTCTAGATTTAGACTCGGATGATTATAAATACCGGTGTCCGATAATGGAATCTTCTTTTAAAAAAAGGGGGGTGTTGGGTTGTTAGTAGTATTGTAATCTCGACTAATTTTATGGTTAGAAGTTAGGGTTAGGCGTATGGTAAGGCCCGGGTTGGGGTTAGGGACAGGGTTAGCATTGATATTAGCCAGCCAAGTGTGTATTTAGTTAACTACCAGTAACGTAACACTCTTATTTTAAAAGAAGATTCCATTATTGGACACCGGTGTAAACATATTTTATAGAAGTCTTTGTTTAACTATGGAACTTGCTAATTTAGGATAAAAAAAATTAATTTGAAAGAATAAGCATATTCGCGTAAGTTTAACTTTTTTTTATATGCCTTTTATTCTCCATTAAATTTTAGGTACCTAAATAGCTGAGATGATAGTGTACTTAATACCACACATGTGATGCGGGATCGAGACATACCAAGTCGAACTTTTTTTTTTAATATGTGAATCTTCCGATTTTAGACTATAAAGAAATGAACTAATTCATTCAAATTTGATCTAGATCTATAGATCTACTTATTAAGACGTACGCTATGAAATATATACAATTTTATCGGTCAAACTAATACAAATTACTTAAAAGGCTGGTGGAACTATTTGAACATTTTTTCAACTATTTGGAAATTTTTTCAAGTGAACGTTTTAATTGGACACATACATACTATGCACATTCTCATGGATTACCAGATGTCAAATATCAACTGACAAACTACAAACCAAGAAAGGGTATTGTTACATTAATTAACATATACATTATTAACTGATAATATTTAATTTTATATTTTGTCATAAATATATAACAGATCAAAATGTCAAGTTATTTTATGAGTATGGAAAAAAATTGTAGCCCTAGCGATAGAACTAGGAATTAAAAAGGAAGATAGATGGGCATTTGCAAGAGAACGAGAAGCAGCAGAAAAAGAAGCAAGAGACAAACAAAGAGACAAAGAAAGAGAAAAATCCCGACTAGCTCATGAAAAATTGATGACAGAATTAGATGCTGAGATAGAAATAGTGCGAAATAGATCAAGAGCTATTACAGAGACAAATGAAAAATAAATTAGAAAGTGAACAGGCAAAACTTAAAGATGAAAATGAAGAACAGAGTAACATAATCCAGGAAGAGTTGAAACCCAATGATAAAATAGTGGGTGAACTTAGTAATAATTTCAAGGTGACAGAAACATTAGAATGTCTTAAGATTGACGCTTTATTGACTCAAACGCAGGTACGCAAGAATATTATTAAAAGTTGTATCGTAAATCCATCAGATAATGGCAATCAACAAGAAATAAGTCTATCGGAGGATGGCAGTCAACAAGAAATAAGTCAATCGGAGAATGGCAGCCAATATGATTTAATAAGCCCATCAGTGAATGGCAGTGATGATTTAATAAGTCCATCCGAGAATGGCAGTAATCATGATAAAATTAGTCTATCGGGTTATAGAAAAATAATGATAATAAACAAGTAGTGTATAGAAATAAGCAACAACGGAGAGAACGTACCTATAGAAGAATTACTAAGAAAATTTTAGTCAAATTATAAAGAAAATTTACTAGAACTCAAAAATAAATTTAAAAAGGAGATGGAGAACTTAGCAAAGAAATTTATGAATGAATTGAAGTCAATTAAGAATCAAAAGGAAGTTAAGAAATATGAAACAAGAACTAGAAACTACAATGTAATTAGTAACGCACAAACTGAAAGTAGAAGAAATTTATCAAGTGGTGAACACAATAACAAGAATTATAAAAAGCCAAAATCTAACAGTTGTTTTTACTGTTGAAAAACAGCTCATTACCAAGATCAATGTTGGTATAGATTGGCAAATCAGAGAAGAAACAGTTATGTACAAAGAACTTCATGTGGTAAATACAGTAAAAACAAGAATTTAAGAAAGAATATATCATGTTGCAAGCAGAAATACCATAAAGTGAACAGGTATACAGATGAATGATACCTAACCAAGAAATATTATGAGAGGCCGAGGCAATGCCATAATATTTGTATTAAGTTGGTTGATAAACCAAGCGAACGAACACAAAGTAAGAAAACTACTGACGTAAATCAGAAAATAGAGAAGAAAGAAATAAAACAGGTAACCAAAGAGAAAGAAGATAATCATCAAGAAAAAACTAAGAGTAATACAAATGAATTCCCAGAATCTTAAGACAATTTTTCATCTCCTATCTCTACCCTCTTTCCGCGTGTCGACACAAATTACCGTCCCAGCCCTTAACACCCAATCGACCCTTTGCTGTGTACTTTCAAAAAGGCTGATGTGCTCTGTAGGTTTGAATGTTGTATTGAATGGAGAACATGTTGAGTGTAAACACGTTTGTTGTACTGAAGGGAGAACATGGTTAGTGAAGTGTAGACATGTTTGTTAGATTGATAGAAGAACATGGTGAGTGTAGACATTTATGATGTATTGAAGTGAGAATATGGTGATTGTAGTGTAGGCATGTAAGTTGTATTGAAGGGAGAACATGGTGAGTGTAGGCATGTATGTTGTATTGAAGGGAGAACATGGTGAGTAGGCGTGTATGTTGTATTGAAGGGAGAACATGGTGGGTTTAGGCGTGTATGTTGTATTGATGTGAGAACATGGTGAGTGGGGTGTAGAAATGTATGTTGTATTAAAGTGAGTGTAGACGCAGCAATTTTGAGCTGTTATATCCATGCTCTCGCTTCAAGTGGTGAATTGGTAGGTTAAAATCCCGTTCAAGTATTCCCTTATGTACGCTCTATGAGATGGACTTTTCTCGTGATCCGGTATACGGTGATTTAGCTTTCTCCATGTTGAGAAACGTTTTTCTTGTCTGAAATGTCATGCTGACGGTGACTGTTTAGAAACAAAAAACAAACAAAATAATAACAAACGTTTTTATGTGGAGAGCACAGCAGCCATTTTCTCTGCACAGCCTCGCCATTTGTCGAGCGCTTCTCAAACCACTGTTTGGTAAAAGATCTGTCATTCTTGTCACATTTAATGTACAATACGTAATTAGGTAGAGAATATCTTTTTTTATTTTTAAACAAACTGTTAATCAAAAATTAATTTAAAGACGTTAATTAATTTATTGATATATTATTTGGTAGATTAACTACATTAATTATAAAATTTCAGAAAAATGACTTTAATTAGGCTATAGTGAAGTCACAATTTAATATGATTTATTTTACAAAAATGTGGTATTAAAATTTGATGAAAAAATATAGCCTAGATCTAAATAAACTAGACCTAAAAAACAAAACTGTACAAAACAAAACTCAACAAAACAAAACATACAAAACAAAACACATAATTTCGGACTACCGTCCTAGAAAGAGGAAAAATAGACAAAAATGATTTACAATGTCAAAAAAGGTGATATACAAGGCATTAAAATGACACCATAATTAAATTGATATTGTACAAATTAAGCCTTTGATATAAACAAAGGCTAAAAGGATTAAATCTCAAAAGTCCGCATGTAGTTCACACAAAACAAACACAAAAAATAATCTGGAATATAAATACCTGGACACTGAGCTCTAAACTACTGTCAAAAGACAGTTATCAGCCTTAACACAAGGCTCACGAACAATCAAGTTGTATACTATCTATTAATGTCATCTGCATAACCATAGTAGCTAAGAATAAACCAAACACTCTCATGGGGATCAACACAGATCACCACACGAAGTGAAAGTCCATTATAATGGCATTCAAATGAACCGTAGCTGTGGGTCAGGCAACAATGAACCTTAACCCTGGCTTAACACAAGCCCAAGCGATACAACTAATACAAGTAGAAAATAAATTATACACTACAATTTAAATAACTATAAAGAAAAGCGTGGGTCTCTTCCTAAATTAGTAAATGAATCCAATAGATACTAAAGTGACCCACGCTTTTCTTTATAGTTATTTAAATAGTAGTGTCTAATATTTAGGAAGAGACCCATGCTTTTTATATAGTTATTTAAATAATAGTGTATAATTTATTTTCTACTTTTTAGTGCATTATTAGATAAAAGCTTGTTATTAAAACGTTTTTATGAATATTTTTTCAGTACTTTACATGTTTTATTTACAATAGTTACATGACTAAAAACCATTGTCAAGTTTATAGCTTAAGTTTCAGTAAAATATTATGGGATGGCGTAGTCTAGTCGTAAAGAACTAGACTGCTGACCCGACTTCGCGCGCCGATTGACGTAGAGCCCTCCCTCGCTGAACGCCCAACACGGCCGTCATGACGCGTGTGGATAGACAAGCCTACTAATTCGGTCTAAATTTTAATTAATTCATAAAAAATTAATTAGGCATCCAATTAAGTCAAATTTAATGTCATAATGCATTGTCTTCATGACTTTACCACGTACCAATTACGAACCGTATCTGTCAGTAAGAAAAGTCCGAATTTTCGCTCGGCGTTTCGATCTAGACAGACTGACGACAAACAGACGACAGAGGAA